ACAGCAGAGGCAAGTGTGAAAGAGGCTGACAGCTGAAGGCTACTTGTTAACAGCACTCCTTGAAGCTGGGGCAACAAGTTTTTCACTGACAGGATCTGCTGTGCATCACAGTCTGCTGGTCGCCATTGTTTCAGATACAAAGTCGGCCATCACTTGTGTTATCGTTTCTCTTTATGTAATGTATGGTTTTATTTTCTCCTGGCTCCTTTCTCTTTGGATTTCAGTGGTTTGTCATGTGTTTAGCGTGATTGTCTTAATATGTATTCTGCTTGTGGTTCACTGTCATCTTGGATCCATACGTTAGTGTTTTTACTAAATTTGGAAGTTTCCGGCCATTATTTCTTCAAACATTTTTTTCTTCCCTCTTCTCTCTCTTTGCTCCATCTGGCACTCCAATCATACGTTATTAGACTGCTTAGTATTGTCCTACAGCTCTCTGAGGATCTATTCATTTTCCTTCAATTGTCTTCTCCTATTTCGTGAATTTGGACAATTTCCATTCACCTGTTCTCAAATTCACTGATTCCTGTGCAATCTTCAATCTGCCATTAATCATAGCCAGTACGTTTTTCATTTTAGTTACTGTATTTTTTGTTTAGAATTTTGAGTTTGCTATAGACAATGTTTGTGTCCCCCGGAAAATCCACATGTTGAGATCCTAACCCTCAATATGATGGTGTTAGAAGGTGGGACCCCTGAGAAGTGATGAGGTCATGAAAGTGGAGCCCTCATCAATGGGATTTGTGCCCTTCTGACCCTGGAGAGCTCCTTCACTTTGTATATTATGTGAGGACACAGTGAGAAGACAGCTGTCAAGGGACAGGAAGTGGGCCTCACCAGACACCAGATCTGCCAATACATTGATCTTGGACTTTCCAGCTTCCAGAACCGTGAGAAATATATTTGCTGTTATGGTATTTTTGTGATAGCAGCCCTGGCATGCTATATTGTGTTGCTAAGATTCTCTATCTCTTCATTCATTATGAGGATATTTTCCTGTAAGTCCTTGAATATATTTATAAGAGCTGCTTGGAAGTCCTTGTCTGCTAAGTACCACCTAAGGTTTGGTTTCCACTGAGTTTTTTTTTTTTAATTACTTGCATAGGGATCACATTTTCCCATTTCTTTTCATGTTTAGTCATTTTTATTGTGTATAAACATTAGGAATGATACATTGTAGACTGAATTTTGTTATATTGCTCAGAAGAATGTGATTTCTGTTCTAGCAGGTTAATGATTTGGCTGGACTCAAACTCCTAAGTCTGTCCCCTCTGTTTTGGGCTATATTTGAAATCTCTGCTCAGTTCTTTCAGTTACTAGCTGCCACTTTTCCACTGCATTTTTTGTGGTCTCCCCCACTTATACACATTTCAGTGGTCAGACAAGAAATGGAGCAGGGTTTATATGCAGTTTTGGGGGCTCACCATCTCTATAGCTCCCTCCCTTCTAGGATATCCCCTGACCTTCCTAGCCACTCTTCCAGCCCTGAATTCTGTACTTTAACAATATCATCCAGTAAGGCTGCAGATTCATCCTGAGCTACCTACTGGACTGGTGAGCATCTCTGGGAAAAAACTGTAAACTCAAAAATCACAAGGGCATAGTTCTGATCTTTTAAGTGTAGCCTTCTCTTCAATGTCTGCTTGCTTTTAGTCTCTGTCCAATATTTTCAACCAGATTTTATCATTATTATCCATGGGAAGGTTAGTCCAACCAAGCTAATCCACTATTTCCAGGAGCCAAATCCCCCCATACAGCTATTTTGCTCCATACTGGAATCACACCCCATTCCCCAACCTATTTTTCTTTATTAGCATGACAGGAATTTTATTAAAATGTCCATCCTCTTCCCACATATCTTCCTGATTCCTTTAGGTCAGCGCTATAACTCATTTCCCCTGCTTCAACGAAATGTTTAAGAAGGCTCATATATCAGTCAGGAAACTAGAAGCTACTCTTTGCAGGCACGATATAAAGGGTTTTAATATAGGGAATTGGTGGTTTACCCAGGAAAAAAAAAAAAAAGGTCTAAGGAAGCAATGGTGAGATAAATCACCACTGACCTCAACTTAAAGCTCTCAAAAGTCACCTTGAAGCTTCTCTGAGCATCACGTCTGCTCACAATTCTGGTTGTAACTGACTGGAGTGTTCTCTCCATAACTCTGGTTCAGGGGTGCCTCTCATCAGCACACTTCAGCCTGGAACCATATATGACAAAGGGGCTTCTGACAAATGTAGCTCTTGGCTTCTCCACTTCAAAGCAAAGGCGACCTTAAAAGTGGTGTTGGTGACGCCAAGTCAACGACGGAGAGTCCAACTCAGAGCACGAGACCCAAAGTAGTCAAAGGCACAGGAGGGGAAGGAAGCTGGCGAGCTTCTGAGCATTTATTTGCTGACAAACTAAATAAAACTAGGACTCACAATAAGAACAGTCTCTCTTCTTCCACTGGATTTTTTTTCATGTGACTCTTGGAACCAAAGAACTGACTCACAATCATGAGAGGAGCCAGCTGAGATGGAAGCAAACAGCATTTGAAGCTTGTCCAATCCGAATTTCTTGTTATGTGAGAATAAGTGTTATTATTTAAATCATTTTCAACTTTTTCTTTACTTGTAACAGATGTAGCACATTACTTAGATCATGGAGGTAAATCTCAGAAGAAACCATTTAAAGGAGTAAAACTGGGAGGCTTTAGGGAGCTGGACTGGGAGTAATGAGATGTGGTACAGGACACGTTGGTTTTTATTCTATGCCGTGTGCTATTTTACACTGTAAAGAAGATATATGCTACTTGGATGAAAAATTAAATTAGGAAAGGGACAGTCTGACAACTCATATCCATCTCTACATTGTGCTTTTCATGATTTTACTCTGATCTGTAGAGCAAAAAGAAATGGCAGCTAAGTGCAACAGATTAAATAAAGAATTCCAATTGTTGTTCCTTGCTCTTATTTCAGGTAACCATTAACCCCAACTGCTTCCTAAGAAGAGCTTCCTAAGTGAACTCCATTCTCATTCCCCTTGATCTACTGTCATCACCAAAATAATCATTCCGAAGGGCAAATATGATCACATCCCTCTTCTGCTTAAAATCCTTAATTGGACTCATATTGTCTCTACAAGATCAAACCCAAGTTCCACAATGTGACAGCCAAGATTCTTCAGGATCTGGCCCCTGATGCTCTCTCATGTACACGTTCCAGCTATTCTGACAATTTTACTTTTCTTCAAACACTACATGTGCTCTCAGACTTGCATGCCTTTACACACACTGTTTCTTTGGCTTGGAATGTCCTTCCTAATGAAACCCTTTCCAGCTACCTCTTCTGTGAAGATTTCTTACCTGGTCCTTCTACAACATTTTCTTCCAGGTACGTTTCCAAGACCTATAGCCTCCATCAGCACAAATTATATTACAGATCAAAAATCATTTACTGGGAAGTCTGAAATCCAGACAATCTATGAAAAATGAAAATATTTTTTGGTAACTCATTTGATGGCAAAAACTGAATCGAACTATTTGTATTTATAATCTCGATTTATTCCACTTTGTGTAACTAGTCATCAATTTTGTGGCAGAAATACTAAAGAGTTTCTCTAGAGTGAAGCCTCAGACCCGGCTGGTGGTATTGTCCCAGGGAGCATATGCACCTGTGGCTCATTCCAAAAATGGCTCCTGCTACATGTCTCATCCCACAAGTTCTAGAACTTTCGCTGCTCATAAGAGGTGAGTCTATTTCCTCTCTCCTTGAAAATGGGAATCATCTTATGATGGCCTTGATGAGTAAAAGCAGTGCTTGACCTCCAAGGCAAAGTCCTACAAGGTGATATGGCTTCTGCCCATTTTCTTCTCAAAATTCCCTCCTTGGAACCCAGCCGCCATGTTGTGAGGAAGCCTGGTCACATGGTGAGGCCACCTGTGGGTGTTCTGGCCCCCAACCCCAGCTAACATCTCAGCTAGCATCAACCACTAACCAGCATTACTGCCAGGTACATGAGAGAGGTGTGCCTTCAGGTGATGCCTGCGCTTGGCGTTAAGGCGCCCCCACTTGGCTGAGTGGAGCAAAGACAAGCTGGTCCACCACCAACAAAACGCAGATTCATGAGAAAAATAAGTATTTTTGTTGTACTAGGGCATTCTGTTTTGGGCTAATTGTTCTGCAGCCATAGTAACTGGAATCTCATCATACTGCTTTGCAAAGATGTGAAATATTCTGAATTCCAAAACCCATCAAAGGTTTCAGATACATATACTCTAATTGTGAATGTATATATCAAATTTTCAATGGAGTTAAAAGTTTTTGAGAATGAGAACTAAGTCTGTTTATCTTGTTATTCTCAGAACCAGTGTCTAAGACTGGGTAGGTTCTCAAGGCATGTCTATTGAATTAATTTTAAATAAATGGGTAAATAAACAAATGAATAAATACAGTTCCAAACAAATCGTTATTTAAAAAATAGTTTTGTGGGAGACTATACTTTCATTCCACTCAATCCATTGCTCAAAAGTAATTTAGAATGACTTTTTTATAATTAATTTCAGATGGGGAGCTATACAAAAAGTTTCATGAATTTTGCCACCTTGTTTTTAATCCAAAAATGTGACCTATTACGATTACATACTTTATCCATCAAAGTGTGTTCCAAGTTGTCCTTGGCTGTTTCCAAAAGTCAGAAGCATCAATAAGGTTGACGATTTTCCATTACTGAGAATAATTGAAATAATTTGACATAAACTCTGAAGGTAATTCCAAAACAGAGCACCCAGTGTTTTTGAACAATGCATGTTCAAATGCAATGCAGTAGAATGATGCCTGAATGCAAAGATTTCAACATCCACGTTGACCACTTGGGGGAAAAAATCCTATTAATTTGGAGTATAATTTCTACTTTGCCTGATAAAAATATGTTTATCTCATGGTCACACATGATGCCACACATATATTTGATGGAAAAGGGAGGAAAGGAAGTAAAGAAGAAATCCACAAGGTCATGAAGGCATGAATAGATGATGTCAATTTATTTTGTAATGTTCCTGCTGAGAATAACTGTTTTAGCTCTTCCCAGGAAATGTTACAAAGATGGAATAAATGAGACACTAGTTTTACCGTTTTGCTGCCCAGCATTTGATCAGAATGTAAGGGATCCTTCCTGCTTGGCTCTTCCTCTTTCCTCACCTTGTATGAAACAGCAGAAGCCAGGGTGTACGCAGGTGTATTTGAGGAAACATCACAGTGATAGCAAAAGGGATTAGATAAATATAAATATTAACCACATGGTCTCAAAAAAAATGCGAAAAGGGGGGCAAATCTTACAACCCAGAGCAAAACTTCTTGGAAGTCTTCTCTTTCTTTCTCCTCTCTGATAGCTCACTGGGCCCAGCAGGAACATGGCCTCCAGACCCCCTTCTTCCTACACCCCCTGTCCCCCTTCCCTATCTCTCTCATATGCCCCCTTCCACACAAGTACCGCATTCTTCTTTTTCTGTCCTACCGATCTCATCTCCTGAATCTGTTCCTTTCTCATTTTGCCACTTTCTGAGATCACTGGAAGTGGCCTTGGCTGCCTTTAATTTCCTCCCTCTCCCGTTAACCTGGTGCAGCACAATCCTGGGACTGGGACACAGCGTAGGCCAAGACAGAATTCTCCTTGCCAAGGAGAAAGGGGAGAGGGTGTGAATCCTCAAATATTAATTTGTTTTCCTGTCATACCAACATCTTACAGGCAGAATTACATTTCACTGCACAGGAGTGGCAGGATGGGTAACCTTAACCAGAGATACTGTTAGGACATCATAAGGTACAACGTGGCCTGGCTACAGAGTCCAGGTGAACAGTGCAGAAACCACATATTCACTGATATAGATTGCTGTTGCCCTGCTAGGGGCTAGTTAAGTTGATATTGATTTAAACGGATGGGTAACTAGTCCCATGAGGAGCTATCTCATGCCTTAGGACCCTTTTCTAAGCCTACAAGGGTATTTAAAGCTCCAGAAAATGCCAATCCTATAGCCCTGCTCCCCTCCCCCCGAGACTCTGAACCCTGGGGGAAGTTCTGAGGTTTGAAGGGTGGAGAACCTGTATGAACAGAAATTCCTGTTTATAATAGGGTTGCCAAATAAAATATAGGACACCCAGTCAGATTTGAATTTCACGTAAAGAATGAATAATTTCTCAGTATAGGTATGTCCCTCAATATTGACGGGATATACTTATAATTTATTTAAAAATGTGTTCATCCTTATGCAAAATTCAAATTTAACTGGGTGTTCCTGTTTGATTATTTGTACCCGCTCCTAGATCTGGTAACCCTAACTGATGACAATCAACCAGGAGTGAAAATCTTAGGCTTAAAAATGAGAATTCTTAGGTATATACTACCTCTTGAGTTGCCCACAAGCAAATGTACCTAAAACATCAAAATATCAAAAAAGCAGGCTCTGAAAACGTCAAGATAGGTGGAGGCAGTCTGCAGCATTAAGATGCTTAAGTAGCTTGAAATGCTTTATTGGTGTCCTACAGACAGAGACTAAGTCAGCTTGTCCTTAAAGAGTATATGGTGTTGTAACCACATGAAAATTTTCATGTCAGCACAACTTATATGGATGACCTCAAAGTCTCTTCTCTTCCTGGAAAGGGAGTTGGGGATTTCAAAGCAAAGTGCTTCTAGGGATATTTACAAATCTGAAGGAAGTTCATATTGCCAAATTAAGAGACGATATAGATCAAAGATGCTACAATAAAATGTAACTACACTGACCTGGAAAACTTAAAGAGGGCAGACATCAGCCAAAATGCTCAAAAAAAAAAAGATATATTTTTTTCTTGAAAAATACTAATTTCAAATTGAATAGAAAAGTGAAAATTTGAAGTGCTAAATACATCAAGCGAATTCCTCCTTTCTTATTTTCAATCCTGATCATTCATTAAAAAAAAAAGAAAAAAAAAGGAATCTCACCCTAATTCTTCAGAGAATGAAATTTTCAGTGTCACTTCATCAGGCTGAATCATTATTTTAAAAGCAGATATGGGATATATTTTTATGTAATTATAAACTATTTCAGTTAAATTAGTAAAAAATTATTAGACTTGTATAGATGTATCTATACAGATTATTAATTACTAATAAATTATGAAACCATAAGAATCACCAAATCACCCAAGTCTCATAGCAGATATCCAATATATTTGTTTTGCTTTGCTGTTTTTAAAAATTAAATTACTCCCATTAGATACAGATGTCATCCTAGCATGCCTGAGCAAAGGTTTAACTACAAAAGACTTCACGGATGAAATGAGTCCCTTTGCCCCTCCCCCCGCTTCCCGCGGGAAGATAGAACAGGGCATGCGCTAGTCGGGGGAAGCGGGAGCTATGGAAGGTTACCAGCGCTATGAAGCTTCCTGCACCTACAGCTATTGTCTGAATAGTATGGGGACTCCTGGGTAAGCCAGAGTCAAGAAGATTAGGCAGAACAGGGAACAGGAAGAGGTATTCCGAGCACGTGCGAGGAGTGGAACATGAGGACGCTTCAGGTAAGGGCACAGGCAGTGACAGGTTAAGATCGTGCTGTCTCTGGCCCCTCTGAAGCAGCTCAAAAAACGGTCTTGCACGATCAGCTCTCTGTTAGAAAGGGATACTGTTCTGCTAAAATAGGACTTCAGAGTTGTGATGGGTAATTTTGTGTGTCAGTTTGACTGGGCCATCAGGTGCTCAGATTGAACGTTATTTCTGGGTATGTCAGTGAGGGCGTTCCCGGATGAGATTAGCAGTTGAATCAGCAGTCTCAGTAGATGGCCGTCCCCGGGTAGGGTGGGCATCGCCCAATCCATTAAAGGCCTGAACAGAACAAAAAGGAAGGAGGAATTTGCCCCTTTTGCTTCCACCTGTTTGCTTGAGCTGGAACATCAGCCTTCTCCTGACCTTGGACTGGGATTTACACCATCCGTTCTGCTGCTTCTCAGGTCTTTGGACTCATACTGGAATCACACCACCAGCTTCCTAGTCTCCAGCTTGCAGATGCAGATCCTGGGACTTCCTCAGCCTTTGTAATTACCTGAGCCAATTCCTCAAATAAATCTCTTTATCTATGTGTGTATTTTTAACCTAAAACAATGAAACAGCGGATTATTTTACCAGCCAAATGGGTTTATTCTGCAGCAGCAAAGAATTGCAGTTTGGGGCATACAACAGTAGGGAACCACCTGCAAGTCTGGTAAAACAAAGGAGAGGAACATTTTTTTACAGAGGAGAAGGGAGAGTTAAGAGTAGCTATTTTGAGCAGAGTCCATTGGCGGAAACTGGGAGTTAACTGTACAGTGGCTTTTCATTGGCTGAGTAGTGAGAGTCTCTGATTGGCTAAGCTGTTGCCAGGCAGGGAGAAAATCTTTCTCCTCCTGCTGGCAGGAGTAAAGTAGTGCCACTTCCTGCCTGAGATGCACAGTGTGTCTCTCCCTGTGGGGATCTGCACTGACCTCAAGTGGTCCGTGCATGAGAGCTGCCGCTCCTACCTCCCAACTCCGTTTTGGTGACACTTCCCTAATTTTCACAGTTATGGATATGTACACATATGTGTACATCCATATCTTTGTATCTCCTCTCTTGGCTCTGTTTCTCTGGAGACCACTAATACAAGAGTAAAGACAAGCCCATTAAGCATCACAGCGGGAAATGAAACCATACTTACCAACCCCGAGACCTCCTCCGGCACATCCTCCCTCCCCACCTGCAGTCACCTGCCATCTGGATTCCATTTCCGCATTTAGGGAGTGACACCCATATAAAGACAGCCACTCTTTCTCATTTTAGCAGCTAACCAAACTGTGCACTCGCTGAAGGCAGGAGCAGCCTCTCAGATCTGTATTTCCTATGGGGCATAAAACCTAGAAGCAGGTGCTTTGTACACAGATAGGCGCTTCAGTGAATTCATGAGCACAGTCTCCAAACTGCTAACATTTAAAAACACTAATTAGTATTATGTTATTAATCTCCAAACTCAAACAAGATTGAATCACATAGAGACCATCCTGCCTTTATGGTCCTCCCTCAGACTCCTTCAGGATGAGATGGAGGAAGCACTAGGTCAGGGGAATGGAGAACAGATTGCAGACCCTGGAGGTATCACTGTGGCTTTACTAAACCCTGATTCATTCAATTAGCCGACAGAAAATGAATGGAAGTCCTGTCAGCATGTTATGCACACTGGGGAAAAGAACAAATGAAATCATGTTGACAAAATCTGTCTCTTTCCTGCAGAATTTGTTCATTTGATCTTTATCCCAAACCGTCTTTGACATCATTAAACAGAGGTTGAAAACTGAACATATGAAACACACAAAAGCCCATTAGATTATCTAGCCTACATTTTGGGCCACATATACAATTACACGTTCCCTATAGAAATTTTCTAGAGCTTTGTTTACTCCATTTCCATAGACTTCCTCTAAATGTTCTTAAATCTTTTTCTAACGAACTTATTCCAGTCAGGGACATCTTTGACACCTGACAGTTATTCTGAAATTTCTATTTCAATTTGTCTTATTTAAATTTTGCCCCATCACTTCTACTTACACCCTTTTGCCATCACCATACTGTAGATAGTTTTCAAATTCCCCTTTAGGCATAATTTAACCATGCTTCACACATTAACTTGAGTAGACAGTATATGGTATAAATTACAGAAAACAGCGATGTGTGAAGACATTCTGTGGTGAATAAATTAAAGCATTAATTTCAGACACATCAAACCAACACTTTAAAATTTGTGGTTCCTGTGATTTTCAGACCTGTTTCTAAGGTCTTTGGAATGGGTGAATTAAATAGAAGAGATTAGTCTAAAACTTCTACTTTTATTTCATAGGAGGGAGATTAGCCATTCCCATGAATATTTAAAAGAGGAAGATTTTTTAAAAAGAGAACTTAACACAGAAGACCTACTCAGATTTAAGGAGATGTTGACATTCAGACATACAGCTGAAAAAGACTGGGTTCAGCGACTCACCAGACATCACCACTGCCAACCTGGCAGTTAAGGGAATTACAACCACTACACACACACACACACACACACACACACACACACACACACACACACACTTCTTTTTAAGGAGACTTGAGAAAAAGGATCAAGTTTATTCTTGCTCCCAGTTTCTTTATTCTTTACAGTGCTTATCACTTACACCATATTTTCATTTATTTTGTTTATGGCCTCTCTCCCCCAGCCCCACCTAGAATTTAAGGTCTGTGAGGGCAGAAATTTTACTTTGTTTTGTCTTGTTCACTTCCATATCCCCAGAGCCTAGATACTGCCTGACGCATAGGAGGCTGTTAATAAATATTGAAGAAGCGCATTTATTTGGCACTGATTTCTCTAGTTAAGGAATCAAATAGAAAGATCCCAGGCATACTTCTCTGCTAAAAAGAGCCACTCCCCACCCCCACCCCCCAATCAATACAGAATGAGAAAAAGTTCTTCAAATTCCTAAAGATGGGAATAGTGTTAGGTAGAGGTAGTAGTGTTATCCCTCAAAATATAACCAGGAAGCATCTAAAATCTGACCATTTAACTAAGGTCCCAAAGATGAGGTTCATGAAGGAGAGGCCACAGCCTATTTTCCTCCTGGTATCAGCTCCCGGCATGGGCCTGGGATGAGGCAATATACAAGCACCAGTTGGAAAGGCTGACCTCCACTGAGTTAGCCTCTGGTCTGAGCACTTGCGTGCTGTAATTCATTTGCTTTCAGCAATCATTCTGTGTAGAGGGTACAGCTCTTAGATCCAGTTTCCAGAAGAAGAACATGGGGCATAGAAGTTAAGTAACTGCCAGTTAGCAATGTTTTATCTCTCAGCTCCAAACCCACCCTTCTTGGAACTGGAGCTGGCGGGTAATGCGCAGCCACGTCAACAGAGGGCACCAGAGGGATGCTGCGAGGCCGCAGCCCCGGAAGACCCTCCTCCAAGGCTGGCTGTCCTCCAGCGTGGGAGCTGGAGTGGCCAGCCTGGAGGAGTCCAGCTGCATTGCACTACAGTGTCCTCCCTCGTAGCTGTTTCTGCAGACCAGCGCTGGCCCCACCTTCTGGAATGTCTTTCCCCACCAGCAGGCTACATGTTCACGAAGCAGCCATGCTCCTGACTGAAGGGGACTGACTCCCCAGCCTTGGGGTGGGGGTAGGGGTGGGGTGTGGGTGGGGGTGGAGTGAGCTGGGGGTGGGACCCTTCCCTGGTCCTTAGTCCCTCTATTGGTGGCCTCAACCTCTGTACCCCTTGGATTCTTTTTACCCTGGTTAGTAGTTAAACTCCTACTAGTTAACAATTCTTTACATTCAACTGTCCCTAGATACAGTGCTGGGAGGGGACTATATTATATACCAGACCCCAAACTGCCCAAGATCGTGCCACTAGGAAGCAATCAAGCTGGGCTTCAAATCCAGGACATCTGATAACACAGGACACACTCCAAACTTTGATGGGACATTGTCTCACATGTTTGGGATAAAATCCAGGTTAACTTCCCCTATGGTCTGGACACTCCTAACACCACAGGAAGTATTCCCTTATCTGGGAATTCCATTTGATGGCAAAAATGACAATTGTTACACATGAATAAGGTACTCAGTTGCATCTCCTCATGGACTAAAACCACTTGACCATAAATTTTAACATTTCAAATCACTTTCACAAGCAGGATTTTACCCAAGCGACTTTGTACAGGTGAGAAGGTATATTTGTTATCTCTACAGATATAGAAATGGAGGCCCACAGACATCAAACATTCACATGGGTAGTTGTACTCAAGTCTCCCAACTCCCAGCCAGGACTTTATCTATAATATCACTGTCTTGCCTTGAAGCTTAGTTACCCTGGAGTCAATCTGATAGGGACACTGAAAAATGGATCCCGCAAAGATCCACATCCTCATCTTTGGAGCCTGTGAATATGACCTTATACAGAAAAAGAGTCTTTGCTGATATGGTTAAGGATCGTAAGAGGCAAAGACTATCCTGGATAATCAGGGTGGCTCTAAATGCCATCATAAGAGTCCTTATAAGAGACGGGCAGAGTGAGATGTCACATACAGAGGAGAGGCTGTCGTGAAGACAGGGGCAGAGACCGGAGTGATGTGGCCACAAGCAAAGGGACGCCTGCAGCCTCCAGAAGCTGGAAGAGGCAAAACATGAGAAGATGCAAAGAATGCATGCACCCCAGAGCCTCTGGAGGGATCACAGCCCTGCCGCCACCAGAATTTTAGCCCAGTGAGACTGACTTCCAGCCTCCAGAACTGTGAGAGAATAAACTCCTGGGATTTTAAGCCACTGAGTTTGTGGCAGTTTGTGACAGCGGCCTCAGGAAACAAATACATGAACAAATGCAAGTTTAAAAGTATGCAGACAAAAACCAATTTCTTAACATGACATAAAAAAAATCTATGCGGCTGACCCAGACAACACTGATTTGAACTGGGTGGGTCCACTCACACTAGGATTTTTTTCAATAGTAAACACAACAGTAGTGAATGACCCACCGCTGGATGAATCCTTGGATATGGAACCTCACATGTGGAGGAATCACGTATACGGAAGTTATATTTGGCTTTTTAATTGTGCCAAGGGTCAGCACACCTAATGCCTGAGTTGTTTAAGGGTCAAGTGTAAACCCACTTTCAGTAAAATTCAGAACTTTGAGAACATTGAGAATGAAAATGTGAGCTATAGATTAGAAGGCATTTGCAATAAGAATATTCTGCAAAGGATTTATATCCAGAATATAGAAAGAATGCCTTCAAATTAATGAAAAGGGCCAACAACTCAAAATTTTTTTAATGCGCAAAACATTTAAGTAGGCCTATCACAAAAAAGGACGTCCAAATGACTGGATAAGCATGTGAAAATGCGCATAATGTCATTGGACAATGGTACCCCACCATACCCCGATAATACCAAGTGTTGGTGAAGATATGGCGAGAGTGTAAATTGGTACAACTACTTAGGAAAACCATTTGGCGGTATCTACTAAAGCTAAATGTATGTATATACTGTAACTCAGAAACTTCACTTGTCAACTCAAGATAAAATGTGCATATGTTTACCAAAAGACACAAACTAAAATGTACAGGAATATCCAACAACAGTAGAATGGATAAAAAATTGTACCATATTTATATAATGAAATAATACAGAGCAATGAAAAAGGATGAACTCCTACCATAGCCAACATGAATGAAACTCCTAGACATAATGTTGAGCAAAAGAAGCCTGACACAAAATGGCACACACCGTACGGTTCCAATAAGATGAAGATGAAGAACATGTGAAACCAGGCTATGGTGACAGAGGTTACAACTGTGGTGTCCTTGGGGGTTATCTGCTGGGAGAGACCATGGGCGAGTCTGCTGGTGTGCTGAAATGTTCTCTATCTTAACCTGGGGGAGGTGGGTTGTATGGATGTAGACATAAAAGTAAAAGAAATCAGAACTATATTTGATATCTTGTGATAACCTAAAATGGAAAGAGAATCTGAAAAAGAATCCATATATATGTATATAACTAATCACTTTGCTGTGTATCTGAAACATTGTAAATCAACTATACTTCAATTAAAAAAAATTTTTTAAAGGAATCGTATCACAATAAAAAAAATAAGTGAAAGAAATTGATTGATGCGTATACCTGAGATTCAGGTTCTTTACTGTATATAAGTTAGACCTTAATTTAAAAAAGAATACTAAATGTTTGTCTTAAAGAAATGACACAAAGTTAGGAAGGTTATTGTATCACATTTGGGTTAATGCATCACATTTAGAAGTCAGGAAACCAGCATGGCATTCGAATTTCACTACAAAATGGTCTTATGAAAACTGATTTTCCTCATTTCCAAAACTGGAATATTAATATCCACCAACCTCACACAGCAATTAAGAGAATTAGATGATGTGAAACTATCCTTGAGTTCCTCTTAGAGAAGCCTGGTATAAATATAAGGTAATATTTTTGGTGGGGCACTCTGAGATCTCATTTTCACCTAAGTAATCTCATAAATACGACCTCCTTTCTTTTAAGTTACAGTTGCTAAAACCCATAGAGTAAATGAAAGTGAAATCTGAGTTGTGCAAGCAACAAACTGATAAACTGAGGATAAAGTAGGGCTGCCTCTATTATTCTTTCCACAACCCTTCTGATGGGCAATCATCACAAAACTGTAAAGTTAATATCTGTACTTATTAAACCTTCCTGAAGGATTCCAGAATCTACTTACTGACAGGATTTTCAATTCCAGAGACTCCAATCAAAGATTTATAAACCGGCTCAAGCCCTAATACCATCCTGCACGTCTCCCTCTCTTTGAGGGTTGTTAGTAAAACAACTAGGTTTCAGTAATATCTATGTATGTAACATGGCTCAAATCACATAGTTCCTCTAAATCTGAGCACTAGCCACATGTGGCTATTAAATACTTGAATTTGGCTAACCCAAATTGATTTGTCCTCTAAGGATAAACTACATACCGTTTTCAAAATGTACAAAAAAAAAAGAATGTAAACTATCTCATTTTTTAAATAGTGATTATATGTCAAAATGATAATATTTTTATTATATTGGGTTAAATAAAATGTATCATTAAAATAAACTTGACCTGTTTATTTTTACCTTTTAAAAATGCAGTTAATAGAAAACTTTCAATTCCATTTATGGCTTATATTATATTTCCATTGGACATCAGTGCTCTAAATAAAAATGAAGATTTTTAAAATGCTACTCTTCTCAGGACAGAGTTTCCAGAAAGACAGTTTTAAAAATTAGGGTTAAGATTGCTTAAATGTTCTCTGGGCAAATTACCTGTCTTTGTTAAAGATCAAAACCTACATTTAATCTTTATGTATAATCAGCTGAGTTTTTGAATGGTCATATGATATTTGGCCTACCTGAAGTCATGGAGTATTTGATCAGTTTTCCCCAAGCTTTAATAACACATAAACCCGTGCTTCTAAAACCTTTGGGGAATCTTGAACTGTTGAGACAGAGAAATGACCTTAGCACATCTCCTACTGGACTACCCAGAACACTCCAACAGAAAAAACTATATTCAATTAACCAAAAACAATACTACTACAAGCTGAACTGTGTCCTCCCCCAAACTCATATGTTGAAGCCCTAATCTCTGAATACGATGGAATTTGTGAGGTGGGACCTTTGGGAGGCAATTAGGTTTAGACGAGGTCATGAGGATGGGACACTGATGATGAGATTAGTGTTCTTATAAGAAGAGGAAGACATCAGAACTCTCTCTCCACACGAGGTCACTGCAAGAAGGCAGCCGTCTACAAACCAGGAAGAGAGCCCTCACCAGGAACTGATTCTGCCAGACCTTGATCTGAGGCTTCTAGCATTTAGAACTATGAGAAAGTAAATTTCTATTGTTGAAGACACCCCCTCTATTGTATTTTGTTATGGCAGCTCAAGCAACTAACACTACCACTGAAAGCAACTTCTTTCTAATTGATTATCATAATTAATCTTTATTTAATGCTAATGATGACTATATACATTTTTGTTAAATAAAGGCATGGTGATTGGCACAATGTGGAGAATAAACAAATATCTGTTGATTTTCCCTACACGTTAGATAAGACTGGACTGACCCATGGCTCAGTAGACCAGCTTGCTCACAGACCATTTTTATTGAGCCAGGAAGTGTCATGGAAAATGATCATTATTTGAAAATATTATACAATGAAGTATTTTCTTCTTAACTATCAAAAATATTTTCTTCAGCAAATGGAAGTCATATTCCTACTTAAACTGAAAATGCTAAATTGTTAATCTCCCTCTAGGGATCTGCTTCTTGGTATGGTACCTTCAATAATTTCATTATCACTTAAGCATAATAAAATCTCATTTTATGCTCCAAGGCACGAACGATCCTAAATGTTGCTCAGTCAGTATAGTGCTCAGCCCTGTGGCTTCTGGAATAACATTTTTAAAGGCACTGCAAAAAAGAAAGAGAAGGTCCCAGCCCAGGGAACAGGATCATATGCTTTGTTTCTTCAGAAACCTTCAAAATATCTTTGGGTACTTGGTTTTAAAGAAAGAGGGGGAAAAGGGTAGAGAACCAAATAGGGTAGTTAACTCTTGTTATCACTTTAATCCCTTCTGCCACCTCTTTGAATGCCAAAAAAAATCTATACAAAATTTTGTTTGTCCTACATTTATTTTCTGGGAAAAGACCCTGAGATCTGAACATAACCTCCAAGGAGATAGCAACCAAAAAGGTTAAGAACCTCTTGTTTAAGGGTTTACTTTGGTGAAGTGAATGAACAGCCCTCCTCCTACCTCCAAGCCAGGCGTAACCAGCCTCCTCACTTGCGACATATATACCACTTAACATGAGACCTCAGAAGGTGGACTGGGCTCTGCTTCCACTATTGGGCGGGTCACCTTGTTCCTTGGTTTGATATCCTGGTGTGTGTAGGTTTATGCAGGTTTCCTCGCACTTCCCCCTTCCTCCTAGTTGTCCCTGTTAAATATGAGTGGACCTTGAGTGGCTGTTTCCTCCTTAGAGTGAGACTCACAGTGCGAACTGCTACTCTATTTATCAACATACCCCTCCCCCTTACTCCTCTCTACTCTTTTGAGGCCACCTGAATGTATCACAGTGCTGGAAGGGTTGTCCAGCATTTACTCTTTGTATTTTGGTCTAGAGATGATCAGTTTGGGCGGCAGTACTTTTAAGCTTCTGGGATCCCGTTTCTGCATTGCCGTTCCCAGGTCGTATACAATTCTCCTCCATTCCCACAGTAAGTTGTTCTGAGAGCGCAATGGTGTGCTCTTAGCTCCCTAGAAAAGAATATTACGCACACCTAACACACACTTTCTGTTTCTGCCAATTATTTTGGCATTATTCCATCAAATGGCAGAGCCCGCTGCACCTGCCTTGGCCATTTCTCCCCCAAGAGTCAGCAGGGCGATCAGGCACCCACTGACGTCGCAGCGCTCACCCCTATCAGCCTCTCCAAGCCCCACATTGCAAGTTCTCTCCTTGAATATAACTCCTGATCTTCCTTCCTACAGTCCTCCTCGCACGGGGGCAAGGAACTGAAGCTCCCTCTTTCCCACACTCGGCTTACCAGTAAATTCTAAAATCTCTTTTCCTTCTAGAGCGCACGCAGATGGGTAAGTTTTTGGGTTGTTTTTTTCCCCCTAAAACTTGCCTGAAACCAGTGAGTCTGGCCCTCCGACACCTTGCATCTCAAGGCGAGGTGGGCTGTTCAGGACGGTCCCCGACACCCAGGACTGCTGAGAACGAGATCGGCCTCGGGGAGCGGCGGGGAGGCGCAGGCGAGACCGGGCCGAGAGGCGGG